TCATGCCAGTCTCTTAAAAAAAAAAAAAAAAAAAAAAAAAAAGAGTACTTGGTGGAAGGGAAAAGAAAATATAGTAGAAAAGTTTAAGCCAAAGCAATAAAATGAGAGCAAAATGATTTTCTTTACTGCTAGTGTACAACCTGTATTTAGAGATGGTTGAGATAAGGTGAACTCTCCTTCTTGTTTCTGCACTGTTATCAACTGGTCTTGAAAGACTTAAGAGTATGACTTTAAGCAAACATGCATTTTTAAAACATCACTCTGCCAAGTTGGAATGGAGAAGGGTAGGGAGGCATCACAAAGGCCATTTGATTTATCTGAATAATTTACTTGAGAAAAAAAGGAGGGTATGGGGATCAAGTTGAGAGTAAAGCAGAAGACACTGCTCTGAGCAAATGGATATGGAATATAAAGGAAAAGAAGTTATCCTAAGATTTAGGTGACCTTGTTCTTATTTGCATAGGATGATTCTGATTATACCTATTCTTTTGTAGTAGTTATTACCAGAGCTCAATTTTACTCTCAAAACAGTCTGTTTGGACTATACATTACAGATCGAGTATCCCTTATCCAAAATGCTTGTGAGCAGAAGTGTTTCAGATTTTAGATTGTTTTGGATTTTGGAATATCTCCATATACATGAGATATCTTGGGGACAGAACCCCAGTCTAAACATGAAATTCATTTATGTTTCATATACATCCTACACACAACACAGTCGAAAGCTAATTTTATATGGTATCTTTAATAATTTTGTAAATGAAGTTTTGACTGCACTTTAATTGCAACCTGTCAGGAGGTCAGGTATGGAATTTTCCACTCGTGGCATCGTATTGGTGCCCAAAAGTTTTGAATTTTAAAACATTTTCTATTTTGGGTTTTCTGATTAGGGATGCTCAACCTGTATATTAATTGCTTTACCATTAACATTCAGCTATCTGGCTTGGCCTTTAGATAAGATTAACAGTGAAGTCAGAGGAGCAGATTATGGGTGGTAAGGGATTAATCAGGAATAAGATAAGTACCATTTATACTTGTTTGGTTTAAAGTGCAAGGTAATCTGGTGATATAAATAAATATAAGCATCCTTATTCTACAGGTAGAAACTGAAAATATGGGTAGATGAAGTAACCTAGGTAGAATACACAGCATAAGAAGAGATGAAGAAAAGAACTTTGGAAATAGCAATATTTAAGAGAAGAAAAGAGAAGGAAGACCCCATCAGAAGAAAGACAAGGTCAGAAATACATGCAGGTGATCCTATGGAAGCCAAAGGAAGAGTGTCAACAAAAGGGAGATGATTAGTGTAATGTATTTCAGAGAAGTCACTATTTAAAAGAAAACATCGTTTGCCCTTACAAAGTCTATCACATAAAATGGACTAAATGGACACATATTTATCATGTCTACCAGCACATCATTCCTGTCCTCCTCCAGTCAACTTCAAATATCCCCCAGAAGATAGAAAATAAATATCATTATTATTATTATTTGAGACATGGTCTCACTCTAGAGTGTCACTCAGGCTGGAGTACAGTAGAACAATCTTGGCTCACTGCGATCTCTGCCTCCCAGGCTAAAGTGATTCTCCCACCTCAGCCTCCTGAGTAGCTGGGACTACAGATGTGCCACCACCATATCAGCTAATTTTTTGTAGAGATGGGGTTTCAGATTTCACCATGTTGCCCAGGTTGGTCTCGAAATCATGAGCTCAAGCGTTCTGCCCACCTTAGCCCCACAAAGTGCTGGGATTACAGGCATAAGCTACCGTGCCTGGCCAAAATAAATGTTAATTTTAAAAACTCAGTTTCTCCTGTTTTCCTGTCTTAATGCTTTAAGTTCATTAAAAAAAATATCTTTCAACCAATGTTCTACTATACTGGATTCAATTAAAATTCTCAACCAGCTGTATTTCCTCCTTTACACGTTACTTTAATAGGCTGGTAAAGACAAGAAAAGTTGCTATCAGGATTGTTGTGTGTGTGTATGTGGGTGCGTTTTTGTAAAAGGCAGTTTCCAGGGCTGCATAATATGTCAGTAGAGTCAATCAAAACTTTGATGCTTTGTAGAGCTAATATGAGAGAGTGATATTCAACAAGCAGCAGCTAAGGCACCATAAGATCCTGAATCATATAAGATATGATTAAGTTCAAAACTTAAATACTGAAACAGTAAAGTATACTTACACAATTTAGACAGATAAGTTAACAAGGATTGAAACTAAAATGATCTATTTTCTAGAGTTTATACAACAAGAGAAAAAAAGTCTTACTTAGAAAAAGGCCCAATGTAATGTAGAAGAAAGAGAAAATTCTATCCCAGATTAGAATTTTTCGAAATTAAATCTTACATACTAAAAAACGACTACACTGTGCACTTTAAATGAGTGGATCTTATTGCATGTTAAAAGCTGTTAAAAAAAACGAAGTCGTCTATATCATAAAACCTTAAGCTTTTTTAAAAAACTGTGTTTAAACACACATATCATAAAATTTACTATCTTAGCCCCTTCTTTTGTTTTAAACGAGCAGTCTGGAGTGCAGTGGCACGATCTTGGCTCACACAACCTCTGTCTCCCAGGTTCAAGCGATTCTCCTGCCTTAGCCTCCCCAATAGCTGAGACTACAGGCATGCAATATTTTTAGTAGAGATGGGGTTTCAACATGTTGGCCAGGCTGGTCTCAAACTCCTGATCTTGTGATCCACACGCCTTGGCCTCCCCAAGTGCTTGGATTTTAAATGTACAATTGAGTGGTATTAAATACATTCATATTGTTGTGCAATCATCACCATTACCATCCACATCCAGAACTCTTCATTTTGCAAACCAAAATCTCTGTACCCATTAACCAGTAACTCTCCATTCCTTCCTCCCTTTAACTTCTGGCAACCACTAAAGCTAAAGCTTTTAAGTAGTATAATGTGAAATTCTTACCAGATTATGTATAATATTTGTTAAAGTCCAAGCAACAGGAACACTGAAGAAGGGAATGCTGAGTAAGACAATATGAAGCAAGCCAACTCCCAATGCATATGTCAGCCACATACCCCGACTGTTCATGACACGGGTATTTGGATTCACTTCACTGTGGGCGACTCCAACATTCATGTTTGCTCTGTAGGAAAGTAATGAAATGAATCAACACTGATACAACTGGCAACCTAAACACCCTCAATTCTGACATGACAAGGTACATGTATTACGAGGATTATTTTTTCCTAGTTATTAAACTTGAAATAGCACACAAACACCATCCAAAATATGCTACTTGTAGCTGCTGATGACAGCAGTAAAGATTCTTCAACATTTGACTTGATGGTAAGACAAGACATTTTTTATGGATCTATTTGAAAAAATAGTTAAAATGCTTTTCCTAAAGTTTGTTTTCTAGCATGTTGTTTTACTGAATAAGAAAATTCAAAGAGAAAACCTACATTTTCTTATATCATGAGAGTAAAGTGAAACGCCAGAAGCTAAATTTACCAATAAATTTATATTAAAAAGAAAAAGCAGAACTCACCCAGCCAGTCTGTCAAGTAGCCAGACTCTTATATCTGACTTAATGTATCCATAAAGAATGGTCAGAGTTCAGATCACTTCTTTCCGAATACTGAATGTGGAAGGTACATGCTGTTGATATAATGCAGTGTACAGTTTACATGGTCAAGGGATATTTCTCAACTTTGTGATAAAACTACGTGAAAGCAAGGAGTCTTCTGAATATTTCTCTAGTTAAAGCCTCAAAAACTTCAGTTTTCTTTCTTTTTAAAAAGTTTTTCCCTGGGTATGTCTTTGTAGCAAAAATAAAATAAATAAATAAATAAATAAACGTTTTTCCCTTCTCCTTTTCCATTGAAGATGGACTCCAAAGGAAGAACTGATAATAGTTTTCAGTTCTTTTAATGATGGTGTTTACGTGGGTCTAAGTATTCCTTAAAATAAAACTGTCCTGAAGAACACCTATCATCCGAGGGAGGGGGAAAACGAGGCTGTATTATATTTGGAACAACTGTGATTTTAAAAAATAAACAAACGCTTGTATTACGGACTTCGCATACGGAGAGGAATTTCTCATAACCCCATCCAGCAAGTGTTTCCGGAGTATAATGCTCCTTCCCCTCTAAAAACCCATGGAACAGGCATCAAGGCTTAAGGTGACTAAAAGTTAGATACACTAAGACTGCTAAAGTCTCCAATTTACATGTGTAAATCTTTCGTCTAAACATCCATCATTTATCATACATTATTTTTAACTATTATGTCATATGCCAACACTCAAGATAGTTTTCCCACTTTCTACAGGATGGAGGCCTGAAATTTACATCTCAGCTGGAAGGCAAAGCTGGTGCGGTACTCACCCTACTCCAACCAGAAAACCCTTCCCCCCAGCAGGTTTGCCAGGCTGCCCCAGGTCTGGCAAACAATGACCGTATAAACCGTGAAGAGGCTGTCGGTTCTGCCCTTGTTGATGCCTCCGAAGGCAGCGACCCCTCAGGGAAGCCCCCCTGCCAGACGGGCAGCCCAAGCGCTCCGGGCCAGAGAAACTCAACAAAGGCCGCCACTGCTACCACCGCCACTGCTACCACCTCCCCAGCCGCCCCTTCCTTCTCGCTGCCGCATGTCACGTCGGACCCCGGCAAGACAACAAGGATTTGCGTAGGGGGCGAGCCTCTGAGGCCACTTGGCCCGCATGGCCGCGCAGGGCGCTGCAGATGCAGCCGGAGCCCACTTTTTCCTCTCAGGACGACCCTAGGTCACCAGCAGTTCCCTATCGACGACGGCAACTATACAGCATCCGTCGCGTTCGTGCCCACTTACCCGCCGCCCCACTCCCGGCCGCCAGCTCGCAGCAGGTCCAACCCCGCGGCTACGGCCGCGGATTGACGCTTTCAGCCCGGGCGCTGCGCAGCTAGCGGAAGCTTTCACGGGCAGACTCGCTGCCAGCTGATTGGCTGCAAGCAACGCCAATCCCACGTTCCACCAAAGAGAGGCGGGACTAAGTGCCGCGTTCCGTGTCTGCTCCGCCGTGCGCGCGTGCTGGGGGCGAGTTGGGGGCTCGGCCTGCGCTCCGGGTGAGACCCTGGCTGCTCGCCGCTGGTGGATGGTAATTGCCTGCCTCGCGCTAGAAAGGTAGTGTGGTGTGACTAATGGGTATTTATTACATTCGCGATGGCTCGAGGGCCCCCTCCCCTCTGCTACTCCTGGTCCGGGTGCAAACGCTGCCGGCAGCTGAGGACGCTCCCCGCAGCTGAGGACGCTCCCCGCTCGGGGCGGGAAGCAAAGTCGGGTTTGCGGGCGCGCTCACGTGGAGCGCGTTCTCTGAGCAGGTCTGGGCTGCTGCGGAGTGTTCTGGTTTGGTCTTTGTTGCGGCCCATTCCCCAGACCCTTTCTTTTGTTTTCCAAGCAGCAAATTTAACCCATGGCACCTATAACTCATCTTGTGAGGGTGGCAGTTATTTACTATTGTATGCTGTGGCATCATACAGGGGGTACAAGTTAAACTCTTTAAAGTTAATCACGAGTTTTGCTCCTGGCGTTCTGGGTTTATCCGTACTCTGAAGACAGGCAGCTGTATTACATCCTGAGGAAATGCGGATGCCAAAAATTGATCTTGAGGAAAGTCTTGATTCGATTTTTTTGGAATCGTCTTTGAAATGTAATTTCCCTCACCTTGGCAGTGCGGGAAATTTGTGATTTTTATTGCCGACATAGCTTTCAACATTTTGAAGTTGACTTAGAATGTTGGCTATGTATGTCTGTGTATCTTGCATTTCTGTTGGCTTTCTGACCTTAATTGTTTTGAATTTGGTGTAATCTTTAAATAAATTATTTCTTTGTTTTCTCTCTAATGAAAGTCTGTGAGTTCTCTGATCTTTACTTCTTTTTTAGGCACACCTATTGTCCTTAACTGACTTTCCTGGTCATCAGCACTCTTTCAGAAGTGTTTCATTTCCCCCTCAGCAAATATGGAAGACTATCCTGATATGCCCAGACATTCTTTGCTGTGATTTGTAAGCTCGATATAAACCCTTCCACTTTTTCAAAAACGTTCATTTGGTACACATACAGTAGAGTACTATATTCCAGGAGTTATGCTAGGGATGTGTGATTGATATGAAACTCCTCTCTTCAAAGAACTCTTAAGTCAGGAGTAACAGACAGAAATACATATTAATAGAATAACTTGTGATAAGGTTAAAGTGAGGAATGAAATAAAGGGGGACTGCAGAGGAAAGAATGCCTAATCTGTTGGCAGGTAGGGAGAGGAGGCTGGAGCAGGGAAGAAAAGCTTTCTTGAAGAGTTGATATTTGAATTAAATCTGGAAGGATGGTTAGAAGTCAGCCTAGAGTGAGAGAACTGTATGAGCTGAGGAGGGAGTGAATGTCACCACTTTTAAGAGAGACAGTTGGCTGGGAGTAGTGGCTCATGCCTGTAATCCCAGCGCTTTGGGAGGCTGAGGCAGGCAGATCACCTGAGGTCAAGAGCTCGAGACCAGCTTGCCAACATGGTGAAACCCTGTCTCTACTAAAAATACAAAAATTAGCTGGGTGTGGTGGTACACGCCTGTAATCCTAGCTACTTGGTGGGAGCTAAGATAGGAGAATTGCTTGAACCTGGGAGGCAGAGGTTGCAGTGAGCTAAGATTGCTGCACTCCAGCCTGGGAGACAAAGTGAATCTCTGTCTCAAAAAAAAAAAAAAAAGAGAGAGAGAGAGAGATGAGTTGTACAATATGATTGCTGTCGTGCACATTTGGGCAAAGATGGGATGACATTGGGAGAGAAGGCAAAAATCCAGTTGTTAAGAAGTTTGGACTTACCCTGATTGGCAATTGGAAACATAAAAATTTTAAGTGGGGCAGCAACATGATGAAATTTAAATACAGAAGGAACCCTATAGGTGTCAAAATATCAATTAGGTAGATATTGCAGTAGTTCAGAAGAGAAAGTTTGAGAGGCTGAATGGAGGCAGCACAAAGAGGAGAGGACTAGTTTGGGAAACATTTAGATATTAGGAGAGGTAGAACTGGGTGGCAGGATATAGAGTGAGTAGAATTTCTAGGATGACTTTAAGGTTTCTAATTTTGCATTAGGTACTTCAGATGAAAGTGTTCGGCAGGGTGCGGTGGCTCACGCCTGTAATCCCAGCACTTTGGGAGGCTGAGTTGGGCGGATCACCTGAGGTTGGGAGTTCGAGATCAGCCTGACCAACATGGAGAAACCCCATCTCTACTAAAAATACAAAATTAGCCAGGTGTGGTGGCACATGCCTGTAATCCCAGCTACTGAAGAGGCTGAGGCAAGAGAATCACTTAAGCCTAGGAGGCGGAGGTTGCAGTGAGCCGAGATCACGCCATTGCACTCCAGCCTGGGCAACAAGAGCAAAAACTCTGTCTCAAAAAAAAAAACCAGAAACTCTTCAAGGGCATGGCCTTTGGAGTCAATGCCAAGGTGTGCATCTGCCACTTAATAGTTTTGTGATCTTGAGCAAGTTACCATGCCTTCAAGTCCTATTTGGTGATAAAGGATGATAGAATATGTAGAGTTGTGAGGATTAATAGGATAATATATATAAAATTCTCATGTTGGCTATTTTTCTATTATCAAACAAGAAATGTAGGAAGAAAGTTAATTAGAGGCCGGGTGTGGTGGCTCACTCCTATAATCACAGCACTTTGGGAGGCCAAGGTGGGCAGATCACCTGAGGTCACAAGTTCGAGACCAGTTTGACCAACATGGTGAAACCTTGTCTCTACTAAAAATACAAAAAATTAGCCAGGTTTGGTAGTGGGTGCCTGTAACCCAGCTACACAAAGGCTGAGGCTGGAGAATCACTTGCACTAGGGAGGTGGAGGCTGCAGTGAGCCAAGATCACGCCATTGCACTTCAGCCTGGGCAACAAAAGCAAAATCTGAAACTTCATCTCAAAAAAAGAGAGTGAAAGATTCTCTAATCACTTTGGGACATGTTACGTTTAGGTTGCCTTCAGATCAAATAAATGATATTTAGAACATAGATGGAAGTAAGGCCCAGGAGTCCAGAAAAAAGTTATGATATGCAGGTGAACTGGAGGATGATATGGAGGTCAGTTAAAATTATGTATATAAAGGGAAGGAGGTTGCTTTTTCTAATGTTTGTGTTAGCGTAAGAAAGATGCTGATAAATTATATTTAGTGGTCCTTCATTAATATTCATGAAGTGAAGGGCTTGCCATGAATGAAGCATTTGATTGTTCTGCCTGGCACCCAGAGATACATAATACATAATTTCCTACATTCAAAAGTTGTACAGCAGGAAAAAAGGAAGAAAAAAAGTTTTACAGTTCAGGACGGGTGTAGTAGGTTCAATTATACAATTTAATTAATTTAATCTTTACAGTTGTAATATTTTACATTGATTATAGGACAAAATGATATTTGATATTTTGAATATATTAGATTATCCAGTACATAATTAAAATTAACTTCACTTTTTTTAAAACCTTTTTTAATGTGACTACTAGAAAATTTTAAATGATATATATGGCTTACATTATAGTTCTGTTAAACAGTGCTGGATAGAATAGTGGTTAAAATGGCAGGCTCTGAAATCATGCTACTTTGGTTTTACCCTAGCTCTTACTAGCAGTTGCGTAACACTGAGGAAATTAAACTTTCTAAAATTCAATCAGCTAATCTATAAAATGGAGATAATACAGATACAATATGCTTGTGAATTTGGGAGAGACAGAAGTATTCAGACTGTAGCAATTAGGAGAGAAGAAAGATAACCTGATGTATGAAATGAGATACAGACATCTTAAAACACCAGAGGACACAATGGGATGGGGTAGATAAGTGATAGAATTCATGCTATGAATTGCCATGGTCTTAGTAAACTAGAATGAGGAATATTGGGATGAAATTAAAAAAAAAAAAAAGATTTTAGTTTTTTCGTTGTAGGCAATAAAGTTATTATAGGGAATGAGACAAAGATGATGAGATTGAGACTGCCCAGAAGGAGTCAGTCTTGGTTTGTACCCCAAGTTTTGTTGATCAGTGTTTTTCTGATCAACAGTTAGATTTTCTAGCTAAGGGAGAAGACTTCTTGAATCCAAGCCCCTATGTGGTAGGGGTTAAAGGTGAAAAGATTGTTCATTAAGAGGTTTGGAGGAGCTCAGTTTAGAACACGTACCCTGGGATATTTTTAGCATTTATATACCAAACACTGTAATAAGTTATTTATATATACTACCTTATTTACTTCTCATCACAATCGTATGATATCATTATTATATCCATTTTATAGATTAGGTGATTGTATTTTAGAGCGTTTAATTTCCTCAGTGTTATATACCTGTTAGTGTAAGAGCTAGGATAAAACCAAAGTAGTGTGATTTTGGAGCCTGCCATTTTAACCACTGCTCTATCCAGCACTATTCAATGGAACTATAATGCAAGTCACATATATCATTTAAAATTTTCTAGTAGTCACATTAAACAGATTTTTTAAAAGTTAGTTTTAATAATGTGTTTTATGTAATCTAATGTATCCAAATATAAAATCATTTAATCTTCTAATCAAGGTAAAAAAATATGATTTTTATTAATGTTGAGTTGGAAATTGTGTGTGTATTAGCATATCTCAGTTTGGACTACCCACGTTTCTAGTGCTCAGTAGCTACATGTGGCTAAGTGGCTACCATATTGGACCGTGCAGAACTGTCCCTTAGATCGAGGTAATTTTGAAGCTTTGGAAGAGTGCAGAGGTGCCTTTTGCTTGTGACAGCACTAATTTGTGTGAATGTTATGACAATGCAGTAGCCCACAGTCCACTGTTTCCCTGCATGAGTGGGACGGGAAAGCCTCTCAGCCGTTGAGAACAACAAAAATAACCACTGAGAGGTAGTTGTTCACAGCTACTCTCCTGAGAACTGGGTACTCCAAACTAAATCAAATATATAGATTAATTAGAGGGTAGTTAGTATTTAAAAAGAATTCCCAGCATTCCTTTACATAATGATCTCTCATCATAATACTCTACATTTTATAAGGCCTTATGGTTTGTAGAATAACATTTTGTATATACTTTCTTACTTGATTCCTCACAGTAAACCAGTGAGGTGTTAGCTCCATTTTTATAGATGACGAATTGATTTATGGAGGGATTTGAGTGATTTGCTGAGTGAAATAAAGGTGAACCCTGAATACCTATTTTATAGGTTCTGGTCTGTACGTCTTTTCACTGTGCCAATCACTTTTGCCTTGTATATAGCCAAATATACTGTATTTTTGAACTGTGATCAGTTAATACTTTCAGAACACAATATGTTGGGCCTCTTCCTGGAAGTGCATTCCTTAAACTCCTATGTAATTGTTATAGTGCCTGTGCTACATTTCCCACTCAGTTACTGAATCTTTCTTTACATGTCTTTATTTGTCTTAGGCTGCTTGAGAAATAATCCTAAACCGATGACTTTCTGTTTTGTTTTTGGTGTTTTATTTATTTTATTTACACCTAGGTTCTATAGGATTAAATTATCATGGGAGCTAGTCATGGAAAATAAAGGAAGTACCTTGATGTCCACCCCTAACCACCCTTTTTTCCTAATAAAACCTTGACTCTATGGAGGAATTGCATGTTGTCAAGCTTGTGCTTATTTTCCCGTTATCTTTTCTGAAATTAGGCAGTAAGATGCAAAAAGCCCCCTCCCTGCATGCTTTACAAATGGAATTTCCATAGGACATTTTTGGATTTTTTGTTCATTTGTTTGAACAAAGGATTTCTAGTTACCAACAGAGATTTTGGATCTGCAGGTTGGAGCTATAAAGGACCTCAAATGCCAACCTAGAGATTTGAGCTTTATCTTACTGGCTTTGAGAAACCACGTAATTAACATAATGTTTTAGGCAGAATAGTGTAGAGGATAGTTATCTGACATATCTGATATAAGATTAGTTCAGGTTGACAGTAATCCTAACTCTAAAGGAGCTTGGTGATTGAAACACATTATAACTCATGAGAATTTATGGATGACTAATGATGTTTAAATGAGACTGTTGATAAGCCACATAACTGATTGTCATTATCCACTTCCCAAGGTCATATCATCACTTGCTCATTCTCAGCCAGCTACACTCATTATAGCACAATTGTTCTTTTCATTCTTCAATTATTACTATAGTGTTTTTAAGAAATCTCTTTAGAACATGCATTTCTTGATTCCAATATTTATGAGCTTTCAGTGATCTGCTATAAAGAGTTTGGACCACGATATAGTTGGCACAGACGTTTAAGGAAATAAATTTGATATAAAAATCTCAAATGAGAAGTACCCGGGTCCAGTTACTTACTCGGCTTTCAGCCTCTTAAATGGTCATAACAGTAAGTGTAAGTCTCAATGAAGATGATCTACATAGTACCTACTTTTTATGGTTTAAAGGTTTAAATGCAATACCATATGTAAAGTGTTTAGCACAGTGTCTAGCACACTATATATTTAATGTAGTAGTTGCTATTTCTATTGTAATCATCATCATTTTAATTAATGGGCAGTATGGACTGGGTGGCCAAAGGTTAAGAGTCATTGAGGCTAATTAGGAAATTATATTGGGAACTAAATGTGAGAAATACTGAGAAAAAAATGAATGGGATTTAGGAGTTGATCAGATTTGAGTTAGGGTGAATGGATTATTCCTATAGGAAAGTCATGGGTTTGAGGTAGGGATTGGTTAATTATATTTTTCTGCATAAGATAAAATTACAGTTTGAGCTAGTGATTATTTCAGCAGGCAGTTGGAAATACAGGGTTAGAGTTAAGTTAGAATTGGTGATAATAATTAGTTCCACAAAAATCCTGGAAGAAATCTAAAAAAAGCAATTTCTTCCTCAAGAATATTGTGGCCTGTTTGTTTTTAGGTCTATTGTGGATTTTTTGAACCCATTTTTGGTTATTTTTATCCATAGGCATTTATATATATTCATATATTACGTATCAATAGAGGAATTGTTGAAGGACTTGCCTTAGCTCTGCCTCTTAACCGTATGACCTTGGACAAGTTTTCTAATTTCTTTGTGCCTCAGTAGTTTTATAAAATTGAGGTGATGATGGCACCTAGTTTCAAAGGATAATAGTAAGAAATGGAAGACTTATGGCTGGACCTGGTGGCTCATGCCTGTAATCCCAGTACTTTGGGAGGCCAAGGCAGGCAGATCACTCAAGGTCAGGAGTTCAAGACCAGACTGGCCAACATGGCAAAAACCCCATCTTTACTAAAAATGTAAAAATTAGCTGGGTATGGTGATGAGCACTTGTAATCCCAGCTACCCTGGAGGCTGAGGCAGGGACACATGAACCTGCAAGGTGGAGGTTGTGGTGAACCTGGGTGACAGCAAGACTCCATCTCAAAAAAAAAAAAAAAAGGAAGAAATAGAAGACTTAATATTGTATGTGCTAACAGTTGAGCCAGCATACAGTAAGTCTCAATGAAGATGGTCTATTATTTATCATTATTATTGCCATCTGTTCTGTTGGTCGGGAATGTTTAACAATTCTTACAAGTTGCATTTTTATCTTCTAGCTGCTCTGTTAAAAGTGAAAATGAAACAGTTGCCTGCGGCAACAGTTCGACTCCTTTCAAGTTCTCAGATCATCACTTCAGTGGTCAGTGTTGTAAAAGAGCTCATTGAAAACTCCTTGGATGCTGGTGCCACAAGCATAGATGTTAAACTGGTAAGTGTCCTTAAGAAGCCAAATATCTTTAAGACAAAGAAAAAGGGCTGGACAGATATTTTCTCTTTAAACTGTTACCTTTATTTCTTTATACCAGCAAATTATTCGTAGGATATTGAACCCTTTGTCTTAAGAGGAAATCCTTAAAAATAAATTTTAATTTAAATTAACATTATAGTAACACTAAAGGAAATAGGTTATGAAAGAAAACATGTTCTTTAGGAATCCATCACCTAAACCATCTAATGTTTGTATTTTCTACATACATATGTCCTTGGTTATTCATATTTTCTTGTTTTAGTTATTTTCTTTTGCATTTTATTTTTTCCATCTAATCAAATTTCAGACCATTTCCCTTGTTACTTTTTTCACATTTAAAAATTTAAGTGCTGTATATTAAATCATTTGGGAAAATATGACCTACATCACTCATGATTTATTGCAATTAATTTGCATGTCTATTTCCTTTGTTCTAATTGCTAACACAAAGAGGTATATTTTATATATTTTTGTGTCCTCTATACCTGGCCAGTACCTAGTACATAGTAGGAAGGTAAATAAATCTGTTGGATTTTTAAGAACACATTTTTAAAAATCTCCTAATTATCAGATATTTATTGCTGCTTCTGGTTTTTTGGAACTAGAAACAATGCTGATAGAGAAACATTTGTAAGAAATGGACCTAACTTTTTCTTATCTACTAGGTAAGATTCTATGACATGGACATACTATATATATTTTGTGTAAAAATAAAATCCCGGTCACTTTTTATTAAACTCTGTGACTTAACTACTACTATACCCATTTTATTTATTATTGTTATTATTTTTTAAATTTTTTGAGATGGAGTCTTGCTCTGTCACCCAGGCTGGAGTGCAGTGGCTCCATCTCGGCTCACTGCAATCTCCATCCCCATTTCAAGCAGTTCTCCTGTCTCAGCCTCCCAAGTAGCTGGGATTACAGGTGCGTGCTACCATATCTGGCCAATTTTTGTATTTTTAGTAGAGACGGGGTTTCACTATGTTGGCCAGGCTGGTCTCGAACTTTTGACCTCAGGTGATCCGCCCGCCTGGGCATCCCAAAGAGCTGGGATTATAGGTGTGAGCTACTGTGCCCAGCCATACTATACCCATTCTACAAATAATGTTCTGAGAAGTTTCCCAAAGTCACATAATTAGTAAGTAGTAGAGCCAAGACTGGAATCCAGGTCTTTCTGACTCTAAAACCCATTCTAGGTTTTCTTTCTGTGGCAGTGGTTCTAATGATGTTTGGCTGCATCAGAATAACTTAGGATGTTTGCTAAAACCATTACTGAGTCTTACTCACCTGCCTTGGCCTCCTGAGTAGCTGGGATTACAGGTGTGTGCCACCATGCCCAGCTAATTTCTTGTATTTTTAGTAGAGACCGAGGTTTCACCATGTTTACCAGACTGGTCTCTAACTCCTAACCTCAAATGATCTGCCTGCCTGGGCCTTCCAAAGTGCCGCAATTACAGGCGTGAGCCACTGTGCCCAGCGAAACTTAAATTTTAGATTGAGAGAGGTGTGAGGAACAAAATCTTAGGTGTCTCCCTCCAATGCTTTGTATATCTAATTTATCTAAAAATTGCTGACATATACAGTATTATATCATTTTAGGTTATTAGAAAGACATAATATTTTAAATACCAGAGTCATTATAATTATAATTTGTCATCATACAAATGAACACCATGGGAATTTAAATTTAAATTTTGTTTTTGTTATGTATGCATATTTTTAGTATTAGAATATAAAACTGTGAATTGAGATTTTGAAAAAATTTTCTTTGCCTGATGTGATGGCTCACACCTATAATTCCAGCACTTTGGAAAGCTGAGACAGGAGGATTGCTTGAAGCCAGGAGTTTGAGATCAGCCTGGACAACAAAGTGAGACCCCCATCTGTACAAAAAATTAAAATAAAAATAGCTAGGGACTATGGCATGCACCTGTAGTCCCAAGCACCTCAGGAGGCTGAGGTAGGAGGATCACTGAGCCCAGGCCTTCAAGGCTGCAGTGAGCTATCATGCCACTGTACTGTAGCCTGAGTGACAAAGTGTCTAAAAAAAATCTTGACTTTTTTTCAAATTAAGGACTCACTGATTGCCAAATTAGAGGTGTTTTCTCAGCAGTTTCCTGTTGGATGGCTATAGATTTTTATGTGAGCAATAAGGGAGAAAGTATTAAAAATCAGGTTGATTCCTGCCATAGAAAAAAGCAAAATGAGTAAACAAAAAAACAAAATAAACAAAAATCAAGTTGAATAATGATACTTGCTAGGTTCTTCCTGACTAGAATATGTGTTACTTTGTTGCTGATGGACTTCTGTTCTGTTCTGTTTTGTTTTGTTTGGGGACCGCATATATAAAAGGTATATGTAATTCAGAATAATTTTTTTAGTTAAGTTTAAACAAATTATGTTATATTGTAAATATCCATGATAATGAAACAGTGAAAAGAAACCTTAAAGATCAGCCTAACCTCCTTATTCTACAGTTGAATTGAGTCCAGAGAAAACAAGGGAGTTGCCCATTGTACCATAACTAGAAATTAGTAGAGCTAAAGAATTTAAGCTCTTGGCCCAGCGCAGTGGCTGACTCTTGTAATCCCAGCACTTTGGGAGACTAAGGCGGACGGATCACCTTTGGTCAAGAGTTCGAGACCAACCTGACCAACATGGAGAAACCCCATTTCTACTAAAAATACAAAAATTGGCAGGGCGTGGTGGCGCATGCCCATAATCCCAGCTACTTGGTAGGCAGAGGCAAGAGAATTGCTTAAACCATTGTGGTGAGCTGAGATCGCGCCTTTGCACTCCAGCCTGGGCAACAAGAGTGAGACTCTATCTCAAAAAAGGAAAAAAAAGAATTTAAACTCTTATTTCTATAATGTTACGTTTCCATAAAAGTAAATCAAAATGTCAAAATTCTTTCACTTGTGTTTCTAAGTGTGATAACAGTTTAATATTTTTATATACTAAAACTGTTTGTTGACATTTTGTAGGAGAACTATGGATTTGATAAAATTGAGGTGCGAGATAACGGGGAGGGTATCAAGGCTGCTGATGCACCTGTGATGGCAATGAAGTACTATACCTCAAAAATAAATAGTCATGAAGATCTTGAAAATTTAACAACTTACGGTTTTCGTGGAGAAGCCTTGGGGTCAATTTGTTGTGTAGCTGAGGTAAGGTAATTATATTGGTTATTTAGTGATTTCATAATCACTGAATGTTACAATTGAAACTAACCCGGTATTTGGTGAAGTATGGCTTTAAATATTTTTATTTTGGTAAAATACGCATAATGTAAAATTGATCATTTTAACTATTTTAATGCTGTACAATTCAGTGGCAATGGCATTTTCTGCATTCACATTGTTGTGTCTCCATCACCATTATTCATCTCCACAACCTTTTCATTATCCCAAACTCTGTACCCATTAAACAATAATGCCCTTTCCCCTATCCCCTAGTACTCACTGTTCTACTTCCATCTCTATGAATTAGACTATTCTAGGTATCTCATATAAATGGACTCATAAATTATTTGTTCTTTTGTATCTGGTCTCTTTCTCTTATAATGGGTTCAGGATTCATCCATGTGGTAACATGTATCAGAATTTCCTTCCTTTTTAAGGCTGAATAATATTCCATCGTGTGTATATACCACATTTTGTTTATCTGTTCATCCACTGGTGGACACTTGGGTTACTTCCACCTACCTTTGGATTATTGTGAATAATGTTGCTGTGAACATTGGTGTACAAATATCTATTTGAGTCCCTGCTTTTACTTCTTTTGAGCATATACCCAGAAGTAGACTTACTACGTCATATCATAACTGTGCTTAAAATTTTTTGAGGAGCAGCAAAGTGTGTTTTACATTTGGAAATTAAACAGATGTTTAACTGCAGCACTTCTCAGAGCCTTTACTATATTCGAGCGCCTTGTAAATCTCTAAGGTTGGTAGTCTATATAGGTACATTTTCCTATACCTACTTGACCGTGAAATTCTTTTATTGAGAAAGCATATCATTTTTGTTTGTTTGTTTGCTTGTTCTGTGGACTACACTTTGGAAATGCCACTCTAATCAGTACATTTAATGAAAGTATGCTCTAGAGATGTGAATTGACTTGATCTAAACCATAGGCTAGTTAAGGGCAGATTGGATCCAAGAACTTTACCCTTCTGACTGTGGGTTAGGTGCTCAGTGTCTATAAACTCCTGAGTTTAGTGCTTGAAACGGTCAGTTCCATAGTACCAATTATACTATACTGTCTCTGCTCCAGATTTTATAACTAGTTTGTGGCAAAGCCCATTTAGAACCTTGATCTCTTCATTTCTTTGTATTTCAGTTGTGTTTGATTACATGACTCTGTACTACTTTTTTTGTACTATACTATTACTCTGGGTGTTGGGCTCTTTTATTGTGTGACAGTACCTATGTGCCAGTGAGTGATAGGATGATTGTAAGGGTCTCTTGAGCTATTGAAATTTGCCCAGTAGCCATGTAATTCTTCATTTGTGCTTAGGCTGGCAGACCGTATTTAGGCAAGAATGTTCCAGTACAGTGAAATGATAGGACTTCATACCTGTTCTGAAAAAGTGGCACAGATGTGATATATTGTTGCTGTCTCCTCTTCTGGTCTTTGGACATCTGTTTAGTAGTCCAGTCTTCCCAGGAGTGATATAGTCTCTAGGTTCATTGTGGTCTTCCCTCAGCCCTTCTTCCTTTGAAGTGCTGGCACAGTATAGTGTAGGTTTTCTCCATTTTTTTGTGGATAGGATTCCAGCTCAGTACAGATGCTCCTTGACTTACGAGGGAATTACATTCCTGATTAAACCTTTGCAAGTTGAAAATATTGCAAATCAAAAATGCATTTAATGTGCGTAACTTTTTGAGCATATCACAGCTCAGCCTAGCCTACTTTTAACATGCTCAAAACACTTACCTTGGCCTACAGTTGGGCAAAATTATCTGGCAACATAGTGTACTGGAGAGGACCTGTTTATCCTCATCATCACATGGCTGACTGGGAGCTGAGGCTTATAGCCTCAGCATCGCTATTGTATCCCCCACTTTTTACTGAATGCGTATCACTTCCATAGCACTGCAAAGTGAAAAAATCCTGTGTAAGTAGCACCATTGTTAAATTGGTGACCGTCTGTATTCAGTTTTTTACTTTTGCACTTTTCTGGCTGTATAACATGATGTCCTAAGTAGGCCAGAAAATTTGCAAAGGAGATGAAGTTTAAGTGGGAGATTTTGCTGTTAGAGCGTGGAGGACTAGGGGTCCTTGTTTATTAGAATTCAGATGTTGAGACATCATTAAAGGGAAATTATTATGTGTACTCTTTTTTTTTTAAAGATGGAGTTTCACCATGATGGCCAGGCTGGTCTTGAACTCCTGACCTCAGGTGATCCACCCACCTCGGCCTCCCAAGGTGTTAGGATTACAGGCGTGAGCCACCACACCCAGCCTATGTGTACTCTTAAAACCTCTATCCAAAATGTAGCACACTGTGTACCTCTCTATTTTCCTCAGCGATTGCTTTAGAGTTCACTGAACCTCCAAATAGATTTTGGGGAAGAGTGACTAGAAGGTTCAACTGGGCATTGTCCATTTTTCTCCCCAAGACTATAAATGGGAACCTACAACACTGGATCTTGTACGAAGTTTGTTTTTAAAATGGAATGGTATTTGCACCTGGGAACCTCTGAATCTCCCTGTACTGTTTAGCTGTTAGTGGCTGCTTTAGAAGTCATCTTTTTTGTTTTAGAACGTAAGCATTTGATTTTTTTTTTTTTTTTTTTTTTTTTTAGCTCTTGTTCAAACTTGGCAGATAGGCTTTAAGCTTTATTTGGTAGATTATTGTCAAAAAAGATAATTTGATATTTCTGTATTTTCTGCAAGATACGTGTACTTAAAACCCTTCAGAGCCGAAATTGGTCATAATTAGCTTTGCCTGCTAGATGGCAGCACTATACTTGGTTTTTAGAAATATGTTTTACAAGATCCATGTGATTTATTCAAATCTTCACTGTAGTTCTGAGTTTAGATGGCAATTTTGTAAGTCTTTGTCCATTGGTCACTTTCTATCTTGTTTCCTTATTTGGTTACTTAAATCCACTTCATAGGCAAGTTGATCATTTTGTCATTGTTTTATTTTTAAGCACTCAAGTGGCCTTGAATATAAATAAAATAATTTTGCTCATTAGAATTACAAAACAATTGTCAGAGTATCACAATATTAGAAAACTGTAAGGTTTTAAAAAAATGTTTGCAATGCCAAGCATTTGTTTATCTTAGAAAATACAGTATTTTATAGAGTTTCCTTTCTTACAGGTCTTTGGGAAAATCGTATATAGATGTGTGTATGTATGCATGAATATACACACGCAGACACTAACAACACAATGAATTTTTACATATGTACACTCCTGATCAAGATTTAGAACATTATCGGAACCCGAGAAAGTTTCCTCATACCCACTCCCAGTCAGTACTCCTCAGAGGTAACTGTTACTCTGACCCCTGTCAACACAGATTAGTTCTGTATGTTCTTGAACTTGATATAAATGAAATCTTACAGTATGTATTATTTTGTCACAAGAGTTTTTGATGATGATTTAGGCTTGGTTATACCTGAAAGCTAAAGGAAATACAGAGCTAGCTGGAAGGAATTCTGATAGTAGTAGGGGCTCTAGTACACCATTAGATTCCCCCACTTTCAGGACTGAGCAGTCAGCCCCCAGCTGCCAAAACTGTTGGTGACTCACCCCTGAGTCTTCCTCTGGAGTTTGCCCTTACTGCAGCTGAAGAGAACTGCCTTACACCTGCATACAGTGACTGATTGAGGGGCTATAAAGGTCCCAGTTCAGGACAACATTGCCCTATGCCCACTGGTGATCATCCCAGATAACCCCCCAATAAGCTGCCTGCTCACTAATCTCCATCTCAGAACCAGCTTCATGGATTAGCCAGCCTGCAATGTAGGTCTTCTGTGCTTCAGTGTCTTCATAGTACTCATGAGGAAACTGAGGTCTTGTGAAGCCAAATGCTAAGTCTTAGCTCAACTTTAAAACTCCATCTCTAATAATCAAGTAATGTTCATTGTCTACTCCATGCAGGGTGCTGTGCTAGGTAGATGATTTCAGAGGATTTGTACACAGTGAAATAAGTGAAATATGAAATTTGTAGCCTATTCAGGAATACATAGTGTGTTCAAGGCAAAACCCAGAATTCAGTTCTAATATCATGCCTTTTATTAGGGAGTTTTCCATAGTAGGTTATATTACCTCCTTACTAGCATGATTAGAAATGTTATTTATAAAGTTTAAAAATACATCCATATTAAATATTAAATTATTTACAAATTTACCCAGGCTTGCAGTAGTAAGTTCAATAACTAAGTTGTTAGCAGTAGGTGAGTTGAAACTTATGTGGAAGGACTATGAATAGTATTTCAGAAAAACAGGAAATCTTGTATGTTTGTTGAAGTCAGTTACATTTAAAAATAAAATTTTTAAAGTAAGACCTATTTAATGGCTGCTTTTTTGGGGGAAAAAAAGTTCAGTTTTTAAACTGAATGAATATTCCTTAGCACTCAGAATTGAGGTTTCATATATAGAAAAAATACATTTTCATGACTGGCTTATTGTGAAACTTTTCAGATGAAAATTACAGTGAACACAATAACAATTAGTGATTTGGTTATTTTATCTACCAAACTGATGCAAATAATTTTAAAGTCATAGGGTTGTAAACCATCCCAGGCTCCACAGATTGATACGTAATTGGGCACACTATTAAACAGCCATCACCCATAACTCCGGTTGTTGAAATTACTTTCTCTTTATTTTTAAAATGTTGATAATTAAGAAGAAAAATTGAGTTAGACTTTTCAGCAAAATTGGCTGGAGAAATCTAAAATATATCTAATTCTATGTTCTTTATTTATATACTAGAATGGTCAGTTTTCCTAATTTGTCAATAATAAAATAACTTCCAACCTTAAACAGTTCAAAGGAGTAAACCTTTATTTTTGTTTTGTTTTCTAATTTAAAAAATTTTTTTGTAGAGATAGGGTCTTACTCTGTTCAGGCTGGGCTTGAAAACCTGGCCTCAAGCAATCTTCCTGCCTCAGCCACCCAAATTGCTGGTATTACAGGCATGACCCACTGTGCCGAGCAGGCATTCTTTTTATAGCTACAGAGTAAACTGTTGGCGTTTAAAAATGAAAAGTAGTAATTGATCTGTGATGAGTGTAAGTATATCAGCAACTGACACAAATTTACTGGTAATGGTTTTCTTTAAAATCACATCAGCAAGCATAACTTCTTGAAATTGTTGACTGTAGAGGAGTAATTTTGAGATATTTGTCATCTGTAATTACTAACACTAATTACTAAGCACAGTGACTGGGTTGAATTAGAGATAGTGAAAATCCTGTTTTGACCTTCTCATGCAAATTTTTATAAAGATTGTTTGTATTTATTATTCCTATCATAAAATATACTTAAAATATTTTATTCCTTTTTAGGTTGATATTTTATATGTGTTATCAAAGAAATGTTTAAGAAACTAACAACATTTTTGAACTGGATTTTATATGGGTGCTAAATTACACTTTGGTTTTGGGAGAAATAAATAAAGAACAAATTCTGAAGTAGGAGTCATAAACCTAATTGTAAATCCTGAGTGTTTGGATAGGCCAAAGGCCAAAAGTAAGGTTAAGTTTTCTGAGAATATTTTTTTTTCTTTTTTAAATCAAGTGAGGATCAAATAAAATAATACATATTACATTGTCTTGAATATTGTGTGCATACAGATGAAAGTTATTTCTACTTTGGACTTGTATGTGAAAAGTAGTATACTGCTGTATCATATAGGTGATAAGATCATTAGACTTGCTTATTCCTTTCTGCAAACAGTATTTTACTTCAATATTCAATGTTTATGTATACTTTTCCACATTTGGGGAAATCCTTTCTAAAATATAATAGCCATTTATAGGTAAATTCCTTCAATTTCTCGCCAAATGTCTTTATTCTGTAGTATTAGTTCATTTTTTTCCCTTGTTTTTTCCTCAGAAGTATTAGTCATCCTCTGTATAACATTTATATTTGATTCATTCATTCACCATTTAAGTGGTTGCAATGTACTGAATATTATTCTGACCATGTCAAGCTCATTATGCAATTGACCCTTAAACATCAGCTGGTTGAGGTGCAGACCCTGTCCCCCACCACTTCGTCATGCAGTCAAAAATTCACATGTAACTTTTGACTCCTTTGAAACTTAACTACTAATAGCATACTGTTGACCAAAAGATAACATATTTTGTATGTTATGTGTATTATATATACTGTATTCTTACAATAAAGCAAGCTAGTTTTATGTTATTAAGAAAATTATAAGAGAAAATATGTTTCTGTTTATTAAATAGAATCTGTTCATTAAGTGTTCATGTTGAGTAGGCTAAGGAAAGGGTGGAAGAGGAGAGATTGGTCTTGCTGTTTCTGATGGCAGAAAATCTGTGAGTAAGTGGACCTGCACAGTTCAAACTTGTGTTGCTCAAGGGTGAACTGTATAATTTTGTGATGAGGTAATGTAGGATCTATAGATTTGTTTTTGTATCACATCACATTAGGCCTCCATAGCTTAGAGGAGCAAAATGAGAAGCTGAGTTATTCTGTTTTGAAGATGGCAGTTGGGACTCACTTATTTGTGGGCCTACATGTTATAAAAGGGTCAGGGGAAGCCCGTAGCATCATTATGATGGTTCTAAGCTGCCAAGGATTCCTGACTCCTTTTCCACAGTGTAGGGTGGTCTCCTATTTCCTTTATAGCTGTGATGGTAGAGCTTCAGTCAGAGTAAGTCTGGGAAGTTTCAAAGCAGTTGAATATTTTACTTCCTAAATGCAGCTTCCTCACAGGCGATGGAACTCTGTTGAAAGGAGAAAAGCCAGGGCTAAGAGCTCCCTGTTGCCAGGCTCCCCAAGTGGGTATCTGGGAACAAGTTCTACAGTCAGAGTACTTTAATTAGTGCACAATACTTGTATATACTGCACAGGCAGGCAGGCAGGCATACTCACATGCAGAAAAGAAAACATTTCAGTCATTCAGGCAAAAGTCTGTATTTCACCTGCATCATAAAGACCTTTAGTTTTAGACTCATATTTGTGTCAGTGTTCATCTAAAAGTTAGCCCCCCAAAAACTCAAAAGTCTTTATCATAATTAAATGCATTTTTGTCAGAGGATTTTTACTCTAATTATCAGAATATATATTTTTCTTTACTTTTTATCTAAACATTGAAGAAAAACTATGTTTATCTAAAGTTTAAATGCTTTTATGTAATTTTAATTTTGTAATGATACTACAATTTCTTGAAACTCAGTAAACTGGACAAGAGTCAGTTTTAATAACTGATAGCCTCTGAGGTTCTCTAAGGACTTCTAAAACTTCTCCTTTTAAAATACTGGTTTCCTTTATTGCTTCTCTTGACATCACAAGATTCACTCTCTGTTACCATTCCTCAATGTCTCTAGTAAGAATCACCAGTAATATTGTGTACTGTTAGAGATGCTCCTGATGGTGGAGTTACTGCAGGTTCAAATGCTGAATTCAGTAGCTTTCTGAACCTATGCCTGGTCCAAAAAATTTCCTGCTCTGGACACAGGGTCATGTGATGAAACGAACTCTTGAATTCATTTTCCGTCCTTTGAGGAACACACTGTATTTCATAAGTTTATGTGTTTGCTTTATGCTTTATTGTCTTTAGCCATGAGTTCCAAAGCATTTCCTATCTAAATAAATTTTCATAATCTATAAATTGTAATTTTACAAAATTTTAATGTTGGAAAATAGAGGGGTTTTTTTCACTTTAATGTAAATGTTGCATTATGAGCACTAAGGTCTTATTTTGCTTTTTAGCACTTCAGCTTCTTCATCTAGGCTGGAATATATTTGTTATCACTAATATGTTTAAAGGATGAGCCCTTTAATATCTTGTAAGATGCTTTGAAGTGGTTGAAACAAAATCCCATGTAACCTTATAAAGTATTAGCATCATCTTCATCTTATCACCCTTCCCTTAAAGATGTTATGTGTGATCATTTATTCAGAACCATCTAGAAGCCACTGGCAGAGTTAGTACTGGAACTCAGAGTTCCAGGGCTGCCTTTGATCAGTGACACCAACTTTAGGTCAGGTGGCTAGTTCTTTGGAGAAGAGAAATAGAATTCAGTTAACCTTGGCATTTTAGAAAAGCAGTTGGTTAAATGTAGAATTGTTTTTAAAGGAATAATTATGGAATAATTAAACACAGAAAAGAAAATCTCTAGCAGTTTCTGTCCTCTAAATTACACAGCATTTGAACCATGTAATATATTTTGGAAGAAGTGGATCCCTTAAGAGTACTCAGAAACTCATAGTTTTTCAGTTCTGCTTTTTTGGGGAATAGTATCACAGTAATAGCAGCTTGACATAGAGCCCCATAAGAGTTGTATAGACTTTATTTTCAGAGAGAATCTAATGTCCTCCACTAGTACTGTGAGCTAGAGAAGCTGTTTCTTTTTTGTTGCTCTGATATTCCTTGCATGGTACCAACATGTTCCACAGAGCTGTAGGCCCTACAATAAATCTGCTTGGTTAGGGCAGGGTGACAGAACTATCAAGTGTAGACCCACCTGGATTCAGATGAGTTCTAGCAGTGGGGTTGGATCCTTATGGTGTCTAAATTTTATAGATTTACTTTAGAATATTCAGCTCTGCATATAATGATGGCCAAGAAAGATTACTCCCAATTTTGGGTCATCATTGGTTCACCAGGTGTGTGAGGAGACTACCTTCTTCCCAGTGCTTTCTTTGCCAGCATCCCCACTCACCACTTTGTTTCTTTCTGACAAAGGTATGTTTTATTATTGTTATCCTTCCATACCTATCTCATGGAGTAAGTAAACAGCTGAGGATGAACCTAGCTCAAAAGAGGGCAGACACTTTAAAATTTATATTTCTATGACTAACATCTGAGGAAATATTTTCATGCCAAATGAAATGTCTTCTTGACATATGCTTACATGTTTTAAAGATTTTTGGTTAATAAAAAATGTACACTTAATAAGTTTAAAGCTCAGGTTTAAGAAAAAAATCCATAACTATATGTATAATTTAAATTTTATTTTATTTTTTGGACCATAAACTTGAAATACAGAAGTCCAGTTTTACACATAATATAGAAGAGGGAGGGAATGATCACTTTACCAAATAATTATTTATTTACCAACAAATTTATAGAAATAGTTTGTTAAAAAGCAAGTTCCCTTCATACAGTTGAAGTACTTGCTTTTACAGACATAAGTCATAATGCATATAATACAAAAAGGCATTTCAGGTATACTTGTTTGTATACGAGTGTTTTAATAAAGTGAAATACTCAAAACAGTGATTTGCGACATAAAAAGTATAAGCTGGCCTATTGCTTATTGGTGTAACTCTAGGGAGTATTACATAAGAATTGGTCACAAATGTTTATTAGGTAAAATACATTATTGAGTAAATATATTGTACAATAATTATTTCAAATCTACTTTGATAATGAACCCATCGCAATATCTAAAGTGTTAGTTTTATTAGATGGTTTTTTCTTCCCAGGTTTTAATTACAACAAGGACGGCTGCTGATAATTTTAGCACCCAGTATGTTTTAGATGGCAGTGGCCACATACTTTCTCAGAAACCTTCACATCTTGGTCAAGGTAAGAGAGTAGCTTTGTATACAAACATTCTTTACCTTTTCTGTCTTAATAATGTGTTTTAAAAAAAAGTACTCCTTGAGTACAAATGTATTGCTTTGGGCTTGGCCCTGATAAAGGCTAGTTAACTTCCAAGTAAACATTCAGCCTTTACTCTAGCCACCAATTTCTGAAATATTTAGAATTGTTCTCAAAAGGAACTGTATAAGAGACTGGACACCTCCATGGACTTGTTACTCTTCTTTAAAAACTAAGAGTATTCATTTTATCAGTGTTGGATCACCAGTGTCATCTTTATATATGAAGGTTAATATTTTATTGAAACATATAAAACATAATGGATTTGGTAATAATGGTAATAAGCCATACCCTCAAGAGATGATTAAATAAATTAAAATATATTTGTTTATTTATGGAAAACTTCAAACATATGCCTAAGAAGTTACAGCACTTATCGCTCAGTTTCAGTAATTTATCAACTCATTGCTACAGTTTTTTCATGTAATACCCTCACCCATTTCTTCCTTTTCTGTATTATTTTGAAGCAAATACATGTATTAATTATTGTTTCTACTGGTAATGTAGTTATATAGTGTTTTATATACTTTTATGTAATGTTATTACATTTTAATTGATATCTTACTTTTTTTGTGGCATTTTTTTTCTATACACTTGGTTCTCACAGTGCATTTTCATTTTTTATTTTTATTTTTTTTTTCTTGAGACAGGGTCTTACTCTGTCATACAGACTGGACTGCAGTGGCGTCATCTTAGTTCATTGCAATCTCTGCCTCACAGGCTCAAGTGATCCTCCCACCTCAGCCTCCTAAGTAGCTGGAACTACAGGTGCACACCACCACCAAATTTTTGTACTTTTAGTAGAGACAGGGTTTTGCTATTTTGCCCAGGCTGGTCTCAAACTCCTGAGCCCAAGCAATCCACCTGCCTTGGCCTCCCAGAGTGCTGAGATTACAGATGTGAGCCACCACGTTTAGCTGATATGTTATGTTTTTAAGTTTCTCTAAAAACTATTTACTTACAAGGGTAAAAAAGATCTCTTTGGGCTTGAGTTTCACATATATCCTTTAATCTTTTTCTGATAATGTCTAATAATGGGATGATTAAGAGACTGTTAAAGTTATTACTTCTTTAGAGTCATGTTCAAAATAATTATTAGATCTGAAAAGGGACTTGTGGGTTTTGTTGTTGTTGTTTATACTGTATATTGTCTGTGGTTTCTTCCTTCAGTTTTAATGTCAAATTATTGAGTTTTTCAAATGAATTCTGTCTTCATTTCATATGTAAAATATAAATTTCTTACATTTTAATACTGGTACCAAATTCTTTCACTCTTTCTCTTATTTTGTAAATCCTTAGCTTAATTACCAATTACTTTTTGCCCATTAGAATTGATATTTTTGTTCCACATAAAGAAAAGAGTTAACAGAAACTCCTAAGGCAAAGCACTTTTTTTCTCATTTATTCATTTAATGAAATTGAGCTCAAGTCTAACAGCTATTTTATTTGACATAGACTAATACAAATATTACATATATTTTAATTAAAAATAATAGATTATAATTCTTTTATTATATATCAAAGGTTAGGACAGAGAGAAGGCATTTGTAAAATATGATTCCTCTCTAGAAATACTCTGACCCCAATTCTTACGAGTTCAAATTAGGAAACCATTAGGAGATATTTGAGTGGCTATCCAGTAGAGTACTTTGAAGTAATCTAGTCGCCTTATAAAACTTAAAAGAATTTATTTTTATCTTAGTAGTAACCAGTCTAATCTGGATGGCCAATGGGTTTGCATCACTCATACTTCTCATGCTTTTCTTTATTCATCTCCATGGGAACTATGAAATAACAATCCTTAGATATGGAATCCATCTGATCTTTGCCCTTTTGCTGTTGATTTTCCTTTTCCTGCTGACCTCAGTCTTCTACCTTAAATAAGTGAGGTATGCATATTAAGGAATATCTGTCGTCAATAAATGAACTTTATTTTCTTCGGTACATTTGTTTTATCCCAAGAAACAAGATTAAATATTTAGAAGGTCAGTAGTTACAAAACTACTAATTGCTTTTCATAACTCAGTTTTTTCACCTAATTATAGTTGATTGGTTAGGAAAACAGCAGAAAATCAAAGTCTTAATTTTAAGTTGTTCTAGATGGATGTATCTACAAACACTTTCAAAAGCTTTTTATATTTCTATTGCCTTAGTGCTGATAGTTTTTGAGTGATTGAATCACATACTCACATTTCACCAGCTGTCATTTAGCTTCCATTTAAATATTTTCTGCGTAAGATAAAATTACAGTTCAACCATCCTAATTTATACCTGTACATGTAGGGTTCTTGGACTAATTTCTGCTGTGAAGTGAACATCCCTGCTTAACATTTACGTTTCATATTATCCGATGTAATGAAATCTGTGGGTGGCGTAATTGTAGGTAAAGAAACAGCTTAAAATTTTATTTAGGCATTGTAAAATTTGTTACCCCCTTAAACATATTTTATTATTATTTTGAGACAGAGTCTCACTCTATTGCCGACTGGAGTGCAGTGGCATGATCTTGGCTGACTGCAGCCTCCACCTCCCAGGTTAAAGCAATTCTTGTGCCTCAGTCTCCCAAGTAGCTGGGATTACAGGTGTATGCCACCACGCCCGGCAAATTTTTTTTAGTAGATACAGGGTTTTGCCATGTTGGCCAGGCTGGTCTCAAACTCCTGATCTCAAGCAATCTGCCCACTTTGGCCTCCCAAAGTGCTGGGATTATAAGCGTGAGCCACCGTGCCCAGCCTATAAAACAAATTTTAAAATGTTTAAAAATAGTTTACTAGAAATTCCAGTTCTGGCTTTTCTAGGTGTAGATATTTGTTTTCTGAATTAATTTAGCCATTTAAAATGACTTACGCGTTTAACAGTATGTCACCTTAAGTTGCCCTTATCTTCTATTCACTTCCATTTTAAAGCATTTTTTTTAAACTAAAAAGAAAAACCTCTATCGTTTAGATTATTGTACCAAGTACATGGAGTAAATTATTTGTGTTAGTCCTATCATTTTCTGTCATCACATCTATTCTCTTTACCCTGGGTAATCAGTATCAAGCTTTCTAAATTGATTTACCCTCCTGGATAAATTCTTTTAATACCTTTCAGTACTTCTGCCTTAGAAATTTCTCATATATCAAAAGTATATTTAAAGGGCTCTGATCAAGGTATTTCCTTTCCCCGCCGTGTTACTAGAGTAGAACATCATGTTCTTTGTAAATTTCTACTGTGTGTGATTGCGCATGTATTAAAAGATCTTTGCATCTTAATTTAAGAATGGAACTTTTATTCATTAAATATTTTAAGAAAACATTCTGGTGTATTCAAGCAACCATACCTTTACATTAGGAATATAAATAGCTGCCATTCCAATAAATGGCATACCATAGGGTCATGTAAAAATGTAACAGGGAGCATATTACAAGACTGCAGTTTAATTTTGGTGTTCGTAGGATGTGCTAAAGTTAGAGAGCTGAATGATCTTCTTGTAAAACATAATAGTATAATGGGACCTCCTCCCTACTGGCCAATATTACTTGGTACTTTTAAGGAAGCACATTTCTTTTTTGTTTGTTTTTCGTTTTTTTTTTTTTTTCTTGAGACAGGGTTCATTTGGAATCAGAAAAGACTTTTCCATCAGTATGTTTTATTCAAACATATAATTCTCATTAGTCTCAATTGGCTGAATGCAGTGGCTCATACTCCAGCACTTTGGGAGGCCGAGGTGGGCAGATCTTGAGGTCAGGAGTTTGAGATCATCCTGTCTGACATGGTGAAACCTTGTCTCTACTAAAAATACAAAAAATTAGCTGGGCGTGGTGGCTGGTGCCTGTAATCCCAGCTACTCAGGAGGCTGAGGCACGAGAATCACATGAACCCAGGAGGCAGAGGTTACAGTGAGCCAAGATTGTGCCATTGCACTCCAGCCTGGGCAACAAGAGCAAAAATGCATCTCAAATAATAATAATTCTCAATTTAATTTCACAGGATATTTTTAGGTGATGAAGCAATAATTTATCAATATACAGATTAGGCATAGTGTGGTCCTAGATAGACAACATATATTTAAAAATCAACAGGTATCTCTTTTTGCTTTCATATACACATTTATATTTTGCCCTCTCGATTTCTGTCTTCTGTCTATTGCATGCCATTATATTTGTCATCTAGGAACTTACAGACTAGTGGGGAACACAGATGAGTGAATAATGACAAAATGAAGCCACTGACTGCTTAAAGAGAGGTTAGGAAGTTTTTCAGAAAAGATGATGTTTGAGTTTGAAGATGGTAGGAGTTTGAAGATGATAGGTAAGAAGACATGGAGTATAACCTTTTGGCAAGAGAAAAATGATGGATACAGATTTCAAGAGACCATTACTATCTGTGTAGCAATGGAGGAAAAGCATAATTTTTAAAATTTGTATACGTTAAACTATGAAGAACTGTGTCACAGAGAAGTTTAAATGAACTGAGCCCAAGAGAAAGACAACCTCTTCCTAGAAAAGAAGTGCCGGGGGGCTATTTGCATCCCTGGGAGCATTAACTGAGTCTGGAGGAATAAAGGAGCAGTCCTTCTGTAAATGAGGGATCTTTTATGGTACTAGGAGAAACCAGCTGAACTTTTAATAGCCACTTGTGGGCTGACATGACTGATTGGAATATGGGATCCTCAAACAGGGCTAGTCCACCCCACACACTGAATCTCAGCAGGACTTTTGTTGAGTAAAAAGTGATGAAGAAAATTGGGACTGAGCTAGAGAAAGAACGATCTTAAAGCCTTCCTAGAGGAAGAGACCTGATTCCATCTTCAAGACATTTGAAACCAGAGGTGAACTGAAACTAAAAGGTTCAACTCAGATAACTCCTGGTTAGATTGAACAGATCTGTTCTTCACCCTACTTGCTTGGCAGGAAACAAAACACTTTTTCTGGGAGAAAATA